TAAATTACCCAGTCTCATGTAGTAGCCTAGCAGTATGAGAATGAACTAATACACTTAAGAAGCTTAGTTTGGCTGGATATGAAATCCTTGGTTAAATATGTTTTTCTTTAAGAATGTTGAATATCAGCCCCCAATCTCTTCTGGCTTGTCGAGTTTCTGCTGAGAAGTCTACTGTTAGCCTGATGGGGTTCCCTTTTAGATGACCTGCCCTTTCTCTCTAGCTGCCTTTAACATTCTTTCATTTCAAATTTGGAAAATCTAACAATTACATGACCTGAGGATGATCTTCTTGAGTAGGATATTGTACAGGTTCTCTGTATTTCCTGAATTTGACTGTTGGCCTCTCTGGCAAGGTGAGGGGAGTTTTCAGGAGTGATATGCTAAAATGTGTTTTCCAAGTGGTTTTCTTTCTCTCCACCTCTTTCAGTGATGCCAGTGATTTATAGATTTGGCCTCCTTACATAATCCCATATTTCCTGGAGGTTCTGTTCATTCATTTTCATTCTTTTTTAAAAATTTTTGTCTGGCTGTCTTGTTTCAGAGAGCCAGTCTTCAAGTTCTGAGATTCTTTCCCCAGCTTGGTCTATTCCACTGTTAATACTTGCAATTGCATTGTGAAATTCTTGTAGTGTGCTTTTCAGCTCTATACGATCTGTTAGGTTTCTTTTTAATACTGGCAATTTTGCCTGTCAGCTCCTTTATCATTTTATCATGATTCTTAGTTTCCTTGGATTGTGTTTTGCTGTTGTCCTAAATCTCAATGATCTTCATTCCTATCTATACTCTGAATTCTATTTGTCATTTCAGCCAACTCAGCCTGTTTAAGAACCCTCATTGGAGAACTGGTGCTGTTGTTTGGAGGACATAAGACACTGGCCATTTGAGTTGCCAAAGTTCTTACATTGGTTATTTCTCATCTCTGTGTATGGGTGTTCCTTTAACTGCAGTGTAGATTGACTACAGCCAGAAGACTTTTTTCCTGAATATTTTCATAGGGCTGAGGCTTTGTGCAGGGTCTTTATTTGTGGCTGACTTCTTATGTTTGGTTTTACAGGGTAGGTATGTTAGTGAGATATTTTTGGTATTGAAGCTGTGGGGTGTGACCCAGTAGGTGGTGCTTAGGTGCTTCATGAAGGTCAGTGGGTGATACAATTTGATGACATAAGATTCAAAACTGAGAGGCTTTAAGGAGGAGAGAAGGAGATGAGGGGTTTTGTGTAGTGGTCAGTAGGTAGGCTCTTTTCCAGTCATGTGACTCCCCTGTATTTCCTCATGGTTGCAGCTTGGCTCTCTCTCAATGCTCTGAAAGTGTGGACTCCTCTCCCACTTGAGTGCTGGCTATAGATTGCAGCTTGGCACTCCTAGGCTGCCCACCACAGCTCTGGGGAGATCTCAGGGTTTGAGTTTCCTCCCCAACTTGCAGGCAGCAAAGGGAAGGACCTTAGCAGTGGTTGTGACTGAGGGTCTTTTACTTGTCTCCTGGGGACTCCACCCCACAGAGATGCAGGTCAGCAATTGCTGAGTGTGATCGACCCAAGATGGGGGAACTGTGCTGTGGGTCCAAGCTGGGGGTTCCCTGCCTGGTGACAAGCAGCAGGGGTGGGCGGGACCCGTGGGAGATGGACTGGTCTCTTCTCCTTGGGTTAACTGCAGTGCATTGGGGGTGTGGATGATGCACTTAGGGTCTTTGCTGTTTAACTAGTCTAAAGGTAGTAGGGGTAGTACCACTACAGAGGCAGTGGCAGAGAGGCTTTTGGTTGCCCCTGGGGGCTCCAACCCCAAGAAATGCAGAGCCACTGCTTTGGGAATGTTCAACCAGTGAGGTGGGTGGCTGCATTGCTGGTGTGAGTTGGAGCCTCCACTTGTTGGGGAGCAGGAGTTCAAGGGCTCACTGAGAGGAGACACTGGTCTCCTCTCCATGTGGTCACTGCGGTGTGCTATAAGCTTAGGTATAACCCTCGGGCCCTTTGTTTCTTCCCCAGACTGAGGGGAGCAGGGTTAGAACTGCTGCTGTGGCAGTGGCAGAGGGACCATCATATGCCTCTGAGAGCTTTTCCCCTCAGGACACTACCTGTGGGTATGCTCAGCTGTGGGTGGGGTGACTGTTCCGTGGTCACGAACCAGAGGCCCTGCCTGATAAGGAGTAGGGGGTGGGGATTCCCAGGAAAGAGAAACTGAACTCCTTTCCGTATGGTGGCTGTGGTGTGCTAAAGGTGCCAGCGTAGTGACTAGGACCTTTGTTCCTTCCCCAGCCTGAGGGCTGTTGGGGCAGTAGCACTGCAACTGCAGTGGGAGGGTTTGTGGGCTCACTCGGGGATTTCCTCTTCGAAGAAATGCAGGGGTGCCTCTGATTGAAGTGGTCAGGCGGAAACAGGGTGGTTGTGCTGGAGTGCCCGGTTGGGCAACCCTACCCAGTGAGGAGAAGTGAGGACTGGGACTTGTGTGGGGAACAGTCTGGCCACTTTTCTAAGGTGGGTGCTCTGTGCCGGCTGTCCGGACCAGCCCCTGGTACTCAGGGAGGACTTTTCAGAGGCTGGAGATAGTAAGGGCGAGGGCTGCAAGACAGCAAAGATCAGAACCCCCACCCTCTCATCCTCCCACCCCCACACACACTGGGAGTGCTGTCCCAGAGAGTTGTTGAGCTGTTACTGGCTCAATATCCCTGGCAGGGGGTGGGTGGAGACCCAGGCCAGGAGGACTCACCCAGTGAGGAGAAACAGGTTTGGAGACTTGTGTAAAAAAGCAGTCTGGCCACTTTTCCATAGGGCGACTGTGTTGTGCTGGGGGTCCACTCCAGTCACTGACTGGTCACCTTGCACTCTCTAAAGCCTGAAAGCAACAAGGGCTGAAGCTGTGAAACAGTGAAGATGGCCGCCTACCCCTTCCTCTGAAAACTCCCTCTCAGGGATGTGTCACGCTGCTACCAGTAACTGGCTGGAGTTCTAAGCCAATGGGTCTTAGTCCGTGGCCTCTGAAGTGCTATGGAGGTGTGGCCTGCAGATCTTTGCTGCTCAGCTCCTTGGATTCAGCCCTTTTCATAGGAGTATGTATGGGGGTCTAATCTCCCATTTTGCTGGAGTAGCAGTTACTTGTGCCAGGAGGCCAGGATGCCAGGATATCTAAGGCCCCCGGGGCTCCGTGTGCCCCTGAGCTAAGACTCCCCATAGCTCTATGTGTGAGACTGAAGGCCCTAGTTGAGGGGGTTCATGAGGGGATCTCCTGCCCCAAGAGTAGCAACGATCCCTGGGAGAAGCATTGGTCTGCAGTTGCTCATTCACTCACTGCTTCCCTGGATGGGGAGGCTCCCCTGGCTCCAGGTTGCTCCTGGGTGGGCGGCTGTCCTGCCTTGCTTTTCTCCGTTCTCCATGGGTCAAGTTGTTTTCTTGATGAATTCCAATGCGTGTATCTGAATGTTTCGGTTGAAAGTGCAGTATGTACTTGCCCCATCTATTCTCTCTGTGAGAGTAGTACACACTGCTGCTTCTAGTTGAGCGTAAGAAAAATAAATACCCCTTTAATGTGTTTGCTAGAAGATAGAAAACACTGCAAAGAACAGAGTAGAATTCATATTCTTAAAAACAAATATGAAAACTTATTCTACTTTCCTTCTTTACAAATGAAAATACGCATATTTATTGTCCTCAATGCACTTTTTCCTTTGAAATTATGATTCCTCAGAAATACCCTTGGGGTTAAGAATATCAGCTGTCACACAGAGCTAAATCCTTTTAATTGTGAATTTTTCCCCACAAAGCTGAATGAACTACATCTTGACAGGGCAGGCAAAGCATTAAAGTAAAATATTTTTTCCCTCATTTTCTTTTTCTTTTTCTTTCTTTTTTATTTTGAGATGGAGTTTCACTCTTGCTGCCCAGGCTGGAGTGCAATGGCATGATCTCAGCTCACTGCAACCTCCACCTCCCGGGTTCAAGTGATTCTCCTGCCTCAGCCTCCAGAGTAGCTGGGATTACAGGCACATGCCACCATGCCTGGCTAATTTTTTTATTTTTAGCAGAGATGGAATTTCACTACATTGGCCAAGCCGGTCTCGAACTCCTGACATCAAGTGGTCCATCTGCCTCAGCCTCCCAAAGTGCTGGGATTACAGGTGTGAGCCACTGCACCCAGCCCCCACTTTCTGAGGTGAGATAAAGGAAGAGTTAATCATTCATACTCCTTTTCTTGGGTTCAGCTGCTACTGTTACCTCTGATGGAGGACCAGGGATTTCTGGGACTTGAACTCTTATTATAGAAGGTCAGATTAGCCTTATGCTGAACAGCAGCAGCTACCTGGGCCTTTCTTCCCTGAATAAAAGTTCTGAAGATCTAAAATGAAAATATGAAAGGAAAGAAATTATCAAGTTCTGTCTACTAAATATCTCAGTGGATTTCCTTAAACACTAGAGCCTCAACTGGCAGATTTGTCTTAAGGCCTTTGTTTGGAGTGTTTTCCTACAAGTCTCAACGTCTAACAAAGGCAGGCGTTCCCGGTCAAGCTCTGCCAAATTCACCATGTGACCTAGGACCTGAAGTGAACTTTTGTTTCTCCTATTCTCTCTCTTTCCGACCTTCCCTCCCTCCCGAGGCAATGCAGACAGGAACTCAATACATTTTGAGTTCTCCATAGGAAAAGAATTATTATTATTAAAACAATAAGCTATCAAGATAAATACCAATATATAATGCATATATATTCATCTATACATCAATATATACTAGCTTTCATATCTGTATTCTCTTTTTTCTTTCTCATCCAGAACTCAAGAAGACATGTCTGTATCCCTTTTTTTTTTGAGACGAAGTTTCACTCTTGTTGCCCAGGCTGGAGCTCAATGGCATGATCTTGGCTCACTGCAACCTCCACCTCTCGAGTTCAAGCAATTCTGCTGCCTCAGCCTCCTGAGTAGCTGGGATTACAGGCACCTGCCACCATGTCTGGCTAATTTTTGTGTATTTAGTAGAGATGGGGTTTCACCATGTTGACCAGGCTGGTCTTGAACTTCTGACCTCAGGTGATCCACCTGCCTCGGCCTCCCAAAGAGCTGGGATTACAGGCGTGAGCCACCGCACCCCGCCCAACATGTCTGTATTCTTAAGGCTGTGAAAGTGTCTTTACTATTTTGTTCTCTTAGGTGAGAATCCGGTCCTCACCCTACACTTTATTCCTCAGGTGAAGAGACTGTGTGTATGTGTGTCCATTCAGGGAAGCATGAGGGCATTTGAATTCAGCTGAGCAGATTTAGTCATCTAGGAGCTGCTCCGTTAAGTGTTTAACACAATACTTAACAAAACAAAACTAGCAGGAAATTAATCTGGAATTTCCCAGTAACTACATGTTTTAGATAAGTTTTTGAATTGAGTCCAAGATGATGTGATAGTGCATGTTCATAATTAACTAAGAAACTGGGAAAAGCTTTCTTAATCTAAAAACAAAGCCAAAAATCTTTCCATGCAAGGAAAGAAAATCTTAATTGATTAACTCATTAATAGAGCAGGGAAAAGAAAACAAAAGCAAAAGCGAAAAAACTAACTTGAGATCTGGCTGAACTCATAATGTGTATTTGTTTTATTTCCAGTTGCTGCTTACCCTCATTAGCTGTGCAAGACCGAAGGATTTTGTGCTTTCTCTTGCCTGGCAATTGTTCAGTCCAAAATTTAGCCATGTTGTTTTTGTGTTATTATCAGGAGCAAGAGGACATGTGTATTGGTGACAGAAGAGGGGTGAGAGGGCAGGGATGAGATGAATCTGATTAACTTCAGGGCTTATTAGAATAAATCTTGTAGGCTTGAAGAATCTAGAGAATCTTGTATGCTTGAAGAATCTTGTAGGCTTGGAGAATCTAGAGAATCTTGTAGGCTTGAAGAATCTTGTAGGCTTGGAGAATCTAGAGAATCTTGTAGGCTTGAAGAATCTTGTAGGCTTGAAGAATCTTGTAGGCTTGGAGACTCTAGAGTTCTCTGAGAAATGGTAAACAGACTTTATAAACCCTGGCTGTGTTGCTGCTATAATCTTCCCCTGACATAATCCCAAGAAATAGAAACAAATAGAAATAGAAATCTAATAGAAATAGAACTATTTCCCAAGAAATAGAAAGTAAAACTGACAAAGCCAATGGAAAGAAATCAGTTTGGAAGCTGTTAATTTTCACGGGATCTGTGTTCAGTAACTGCCCTCTATCGGCTCCCCTGAATAGCACACTATAGAGGATGGAGAATCTGAAAGGCCTTTTTGCTGGTTTTCTTACGAACAGAGAGTTCATAAGCCGGGACCTTCTTCAGCCTCCAAGGTAAAGAAATTTGTGATCTCCAAGCTCCCTCTTGTATGTATTGTGAACGCCTCTGTCAGAAGAGAAACACCAAAGCTACTCACCTGGAAATGTTGCAGTATGAAGGCCAGGTATTTGTTCGAGACTTTATTTAAATGTTAACTTTGTTAATGAATTTCTTTGCTAACTTCCCCTGCTTTATTTTCATGCCAAAAAACAGAGAGGTGCAGAGAACAGAACACTGCACCACAGTCTAAAAGTGTTAGTTTCAGGCACATCACTGCTGTTTTTGAGCTGTGGGTCCTCAGACAAGCTATTTTAGCTTTCCCAGCCTCAGATTCCCACTTGCCTGCTTCTTCACCACTTCCTGGGGGGATAAGAGAAGACCAAATGATATGTTCGTGAAGGTGCTTTGCCACTGGTGTGTACTCTATGCAGACATGAAGCAATATTGATAGTACTTTATAAAAGTAAAACGTCATTTTCTCATTCACAGGACTGAGGATTAGAAAGAATAATGCTGAGTTTCTGGCTGCCTCTGCTTTTGAGGACCTAGGAGCCATTCTGACCTAAAGAGAGTAGGCTCCGGGGTCAAACATAAATGTAAACACCGTTAGTGTGACCTTTGCAGATCATTTGTCTGCCCTGTGCTTCTATTATGCTATCTGTCTGCAAAGTAAAGAACTTCTTTACAAAATGCCTCATACAAGTGTAAATACAACAAATAAGTTCCATCTCTAAAGTTCTTCATAGAAAACAGAATTATAAGATGCACTCACTATCCAAGAATAAATGATACCAGGAAAGGGCAAAAGTTAATTAATCCTCTTACGATAAAGAGCACATTTCAAGGTAAATAATAAAAATAATTATCTTAAAGTTAACAAAATGTATACGGTTATTTGCAACTATGCATTAATTCTTAGTCTGAAGAATGTTGAGGAGTTGATTTGGCATGAAGAGGACACATTTTCTTGGACAAAATTATAGGATGGCACAGTGCGACTTTGTTCAGCTCATACAACCTTTGTGTAACACCATCGAAGGGGATCATTTTACCAAAAACTTTTTTTTTAAGTCAACGGTTTTTATCAGTTTTCCAAAGGGATTTAAACAATTCTTTGACATTTAAGCTGGTACATTTTGGAAGTATCTCTGGTATCATCATCTTTACCCATTACTCTTCTTTAGTGTTAATTTATATGATTCCTTGTCTATTTTTTCTTCTTCAGTTTTCACCTAGTCATTGACACGTGACTATACTTGACATTGGAGCAGTTCTCCAACATTATTTTCATCAATTTCATGAAATTCTGCATCTTTTGCAAGAATTACAACTCCACTTTGCCATCTGACTTGTGTTGTCAGATGTTTACAATATTCTATAAGTAGTACGAGTTAGGCTGAAAAAGTTTTGACTTATGATCAGGGATAGTCATTCAAGCTAAGCAGAGAAGGTTGTTCACGCCATTCTCCTGTCTCAGCCTCCCGAGTAGCTGGGACTACAGGTGCCCAACACCATGACCGGCTAATTTTTTGTATTTTTAGTGGAGACGGGGTTTCACCATGTTAGCCAGGATGGTCTTGATCTCCTGACCTTGTGATCCACCCACCTCAGCCTCCCAAACTGTTGAGATTACCCACATGAACCACCGCACCCGGCCACCATTACTTTCAACGGCACAACCTGTAATTACTTTTGCACCAACCTAATACTAAAGCTAAATGTATGTATACGTTATCATCCAACAATTCTACTTTTCAGTATATACCCAAGAGAAATAAGTGCTTATGTACACCCAAAAGGCAGGTACAAGAATGTTCATAGCTTCTTTTTTTTTAAAGCCAAACTAGAAACAACTCAATACCCTAGAATGGATGAATACATTGGGCTGAAAAAGTTTTGACTTATGATCAGGATAGTCATTCAAGCTAAGCAGAGAAGTTGTTTGAAGGGGAAAAATTTTATGGTATTCAGTTCACAGTGAATACTTTCAGTTTAATGGCAAATATTCCTGTATAATCATATTCTGAGCGAATTTGAGTAATGAAAACTCAGATAAGAAGAGACTCGTGGGCCGGCGCACGCAGTGGACTCACACCTGTACCCCAGCACTTTGGAGGCTGAGGCGGCGGATCACAAGAGTCAGGAGATGGAGACCATGCCTGGCTAAGCGTGGTGAAACCCTGCCCGCGCCGTTGACTATTAAAAATACAAAAAAGGTTAGCCTGGTCCGTGTGGTGGGCACCTGTGAGTCCCAGCTACTCGGGAGCTGAGGCAGAAGAACGCGTGGGCTACGGGAGGCAAGCAGCTGCATGGAGCGAGCATCACGCCATTGGCACTCCAGCCCTGGGTGACAGAGCGAGACTCCATCTCCAAAAAAATAAAGTAAA